AAACAAGTTCCATGAGGGCTCCTCGGCTAGTGAAGGCGAAAGGTGTCCCATGTGACGGCCTTCCTCTTCCTCCTCTTCCTCCTTCTCCTCCTCCTCCTCCTCCACCTCCTCCTCCACTTACTTCTTCACATCATCCTCATCATCCTCATCTTCCCCCTCCTCCTCCCACCACCACCACTCCCATCACCTTCGCCATCACCATCGCAATCAACATCACCATACCACCATACCACTACAGTAGCATCATCAGCATCATCATCGTCACCCACAACATCAACATCAACATCAACATCACCATCATCATCATCCGCATCATCTTCATCATCTTCACCATAAGCATCATCAGAATAATCAGCATCATCATCGACATCAGCATCATCATCAACAACATCATCATCATCATCATCATCATCATCATCATCATCGGCATCATCGTCATTATCATCGTCATCGCAATCATTATCACTACCATCATCATACTTAGAATCACCATCAACATCGTCTGCCGCTACAGTGTCAACAGCCGGACCGTCATCATCAACATCATCATCAACATCGTCATCATCACCAACATCACCACTACCACCCCCACAACTGTCATCATCACCATCAGCAGAAGCATCATCATCAGTCGCATCATCATCATCATCATCATCATCATCATCAGAATCATCATCACCACCATCAGCATCGTCCTGTTCCTCCTCATCGTCATTATAACCAAAGCCATCACCATCACCATCATCATCACCATCACCACCCCCACCATCATCATCACCATCATGATGATCAGCATCATCATCAGCAACATCATCATCATCATCATCATCATCATCATCATCATCATCATCATCATCATTGTCATCATCACCAACATCATCACCCCGGCTCCCTCAAGCCTGGAGACACGAGGTGCCACACGTGAGGGCCTCCCACGCTCCCTCGAACACTCGCCCCCCCCAGAGTGCTGGGCTGGCACGGTGGCGGGAATTGCCGCAGGCAGCTGGATATTCACGTATGTATGTATGTATGTATGTATGTATGTATGTATGGGTGTCTGTGTGTATGTGTGTATGTACGTCTGTATGTATGTATGTATGTATGTATGTATGTATGTGTGTTTGTATGTATGTTTACATGCATGCATGCATGTGTGTGCGGATGTCTGCAAGTCTGCAGTTATGGATGTATGGATTTGTGTATGTGTGTACGCATGTGCGCATGTATGTTCGTACGTTTGTACGTATGTGCGTGCGTACGTATAATGTGTGGAAGTGTGTGTATGTATGCATGTCTGTATATGCGTATGCAAGCAAGCCTGCATGCATGCATGCATGTGTGTATGTACGTATAGATGTACTAGAACCATCGCGCGCTTCGCGCGCGCTCAAGTTGTAGCTAGGTTTGATAGACTTCAACCGACGGCCCCCGGCAATATTCGCATCCGATCCACCCGAGTCGGCACACCCCTGACACGGCTCTTGGCCCACAAGAAGATCCACCTACGGCCCCAGAGAGAAGGTTCGCATGGCATCTTGGATGCCTCTCTCGCCGGCGCATTAGAACCAAGTTATGAGCCTCTTGGGGGCCTCTTGGAGGCCTCCTGGGTGCGTCTTGGGGTGCTTTGGGGGGCCTCTTGAGGCCTCTGGGGGGCCTATCGGCGCCTCCTGGGAGCTCTTGGGACCGAAAACTCGAACACCGAAAATGGCTGTCTTCTTCTGGGACCCCTCTCGGGCCCTTCTTGGGCTTTCTTGGGCCGTCTTGGGGACCGATTGGGCCGTCCTGCGTTCCTCGTAGGCCGTCTTGGAGATTTCTTGGGGGCCTCCTAGGCCGTTTTGGGGGGCCTCTTGGGCCGTCTTGGACGCGGTGACAGCCCAAGAGGCGAGCATGCGAAAAATATACGTCTTCCCATAGGAATGGAAGAATCTTAGTTTTTTGGGGCTCTCTTGGGGTGCCTCTTGGAGCATCTTGGGGTGCTTTGGGGGGCCTGCTTGGGGCCTCTTGGGGGCGTATCGGCGCCTCCTGGGATCTCTTGGGGCCGAAAGCTCGGAATTCGAGAGTGGCTTTCTTTCTCTGGGACTCCTCTCGGGCGCGTCTTGGGGCTCTCTTGGGCCGTCTTGGGGGCCGTCCTGGGCTTCTCGTGGCCCGTCTTGGAGCTCTTATGGGGGCCTCCTAGGCCGTCTTGGGAACCCCATTGGGCCGTCTTGGACGCGATGACAGCCCAACAGGCGAACATACGAAAAATATACGTTTTCCTCCAGGAATGGGACGATTTGTGCTTCTTGGAGCTCTCTTGGGGTGCCTCTTGGAGCGTCTTGGGGTGCTTTTGGGAGCCTCCCGGGCGCTTCTTGGGGGCTTCTCGGCGCCTCCTGGAGCCACTTGGGGTCGAAAGCTTGGAATTCGATGGTGGCTTTCCTCCTCTGGGGCCCTCGCGGGCCCGTCTTGGGGACTCTCTTGGGCCGTCTTGGGCCCTTCGTGGGCCGTCCTGGAGCTTTCTGGGGATGTATTGGGTCCCTCTGGGGCGCGTCCTGGGCCGTATTGGGGCGGTCTTGGGAGCTTCTGAGGTCGTCAAGCACGGACCGCCAGCGAAAACAAGCAATACGTTTAAAGTATACGTTTTACGCAAGGAATGGGGCTATATTGGACCCTTGGGGCTCTCTTTGGGGCCCTATTGGGGGTCGCTTGGGGTGTCTTGGGGGCTTCTGAAGCCGCCTTGGAGGCCATGTTGGGCGTCTGGGAGCGACCTTCGGGCGTCCCGGGTCTGTTCTGGAGCATCTTGGGGCCTCCTTGGCGCCTTCCGGCGGCCTTCTGTGAGGCCCCGGGGCTCCCCGAGGGCCCCGGAGCCCACATTTGCGGTAGCGGCGCCGGCCCCGGGCGCCCGGACCCGGTGCGCCGTTATATGTATATGTGTCTATGTTTGTACGTATGTATGCATGCATGTATGTATGCCTGCATGCCTGTATGTTTGTATGCATGTATGTATGTATGCATGTACGTATGTAGGTAGGTATGTGTATGTTTGTGTCTGTGTTTTCATGTACGTAGTCAGGTAGGTCAAAAAGTATGCATGTATGTACGCATGCATGCCATGCATGTATGTATGGATGGATGTGTCTATGTTTGTGTATATGCATGCTTGCATGTACGTGCGTCTGCAAATCTGAATTTGCCACCGTGCCCTTGAGACACGAGTTGGAGTGTCCTCATATTTTTGAACATTCCTCCTGTAGAGGGACAGGCCCGTCTTAACCCTCAGACAGTCCAAGAAGGCCCCGAATCGCCAGTCCGTCCGTCCAAGACGCCCAAGATGGCGCCCAGTCGGCTCTGACGCCCGAGCCGCCCGAAGAGGCCTCCAAGAGAACCCTCACCAGGGCCCCGAGAGGCCAAAATCATTGATCTCCCCTGCAGAGCACTAGTTTGCAATTCCGGTCATTTGCAATTCCGGTGATTTCCAATTCCAGCCACGGATTGAAAATCAGAGGCGCCGCCACGCAGGCCTGCGCCGACGCGCGGGAGCGTGTCAAAGCTCATAGCGCAGGGACAGTTGTGCTTGCTGCTGCAACGGGGTCGGGCGAGACAAACACAGAGAAGCAATGCTTGTTGTCTCACGCGAACAAGCATTGTCTGCTGGGCAATGCCTGTTTCCAGCTCCCTCGTGCGAACGCTCCCGTCCCCAGAAGCGGAACAGAGGCAGCAGCAGCAGCAGGCATGCAGGCAGCAGCAGGGAGCAGCAGGCAGCAGCAAACCTGATTCAAGGAAGAAGGAAGAAAAACACGCTTCTTGTCTCCAGGAGCTGGCGACGAGCCAGGGACCGCCGACTTCCAGTGGGGCAGCCGGCAGGCAGCCAGCAGCAGGCAGCAGCGGCAGCAGCGGCAGCAGCTGCATCATTGAGACAAAGGACACCGAACGCATTGTGAAAGTATTGCCCGGGCACCCCGTGGCGATATGCACGCATCCATTTCTAATTCTGGTTGTTTGCAATTCTGGCCACGAATTAAAATTTAGTGCTCTGTAGGTTTTCATACTGTTTTGGGTGTTACCCACTTGTCGAGCTTCCGACGCTCCAAAACATCCAAGGAGGTCCCCAAGACCGCCCTAAGACGGCCCCACAAAGCCCCCAAGACAGCCCCAAGACGGCCTTAAGACGACCAAAGAAGCGCCCAAGACGGTCCGAAGAGGTGCCCAAGAGGGGGAACACGAACCGAAAATCCGAGCCTTCCGCCCCAAGGTGCGCCCAGGGGGCCTCAAGAGTACTTCAAGAGGTCCCACGAGGCCCCCAAGAGGTCCAAGAGACGCCCAGAAGAGGCCTCTAAGAGGCCCCCAAATAGCCCCCCCTAGGCGTCAGCGTCAACACTGCCTCCAGGAGACCCCCGAGAGGCCTCCCACGAGATCCCAACGAAAATCCAAGATGCCTCTCACCCACAACCCAGGCACGGTGGCGGGGTCGCCGAAGGCCCTTATATACGTATATACACACGTGTATACACATGAATGCCAGTTATAGGTTATGGAGATATATATATATATGTATATGAGAGAGAGAGAGAGAGAGAGAGAACAAAAAAAAACGACCTTATGCAGTGCATGCAGCAAACAAAACAAAGAGAGGGGGTAAACATATAAACGTATACAAAAGACAGACAGACAGACAGACAGACAGACAGACAGACAGACAGACAGGCAGGCAGGCAGGCAGGCAGGCAGGCAGGCAGGCATGCAGGCAGGCAGGCAGATGGACGGACAGACAGACGGGCAGAGACAGACAAAGCCGCAGACAGACAGACGGACAGAACTACTCTAGGGGAGTGTGACCAGTAGAATGCGAAGAGTGCGACGAGAACGGCGGCGGCAACCAAGGCGAATGTGCCCGTGCTCTGGGTGAGGGCTCACGGCAGGAGCAGTTCCAGCGGAAAGAAGCATACGGGGACACGCGAGGCGCGTGCGAGGGCTAGGAACGGATGGGGGGGCACGGGTATCGGGGCGGACGTGCTACCCCGGGCCTCGACGATGCACACCTTGGCAAAACGCTCCACGTCTCCCCCCGCGTACTCGGTGTCGGACTCGACGGCCGGTGGGTCCTCCTCTGGCTGGGCCAGCAGCTCCTCCAAGGGGCTGCAACGGACGCAGGTGGGCCAGGAGGAGGCGGAGAAGGAGGAGGATGAGGAGGTGGAGGCTTCGCTGGAGGAGCCGACGTGGACCAACGACGAAGCGAAAGAAGGAGGAGCAGCACCGACCGAGAGGGAAGGCAAGGGCTTGGTCGACCCGACCCAAACGGATACCTTAGGCTCCAGAAGGAGGAGGAACAGGAAGAGGGGGCGCATCTGAATTTGGACGCTGCATGGATGCACCATTCCATGCCCAGCCTGCTGTAGCCGTAGCCAGACAGCGGCGGGGGAGCGCCGCCACCCCGCGGAACAACGCCCCCCCCCCTCCCGGCAGCGAGCAGGGGGCGGAGTAAGATGGGGAGGAGGGAAGGACGGAGAGGCAGGGGAAAACAGATTAGGAAGATGAGGGGCATGAGGCGGAGGGGGGAGAAGGAGGAGGGGCCGACTAGAAGTTTTCATTGTTTTATCATCAACGAACACTGAACGATTGGCACCGAATCGTGAGACGGAACACCTCTGGACACGCCGAGAACGCCACGCGCGATGTCATGCACAGCGAAACGCCAACTGAGTGGGAGAGAGGGGAAGACAGAGGGGGGGAAGCGCAACGGAACCTGGCCGGCCGCGCTACGAAAACAGGGCGACGCTCGGGTACGAGCATAATAGCCCGCTACAGAGTAAGAGAGACACACCGCCAAGTGAACGCACGAGGTGTCTGTGCCCCGGCAAACGCCACGGCCCTAAGTATTGCGCGAGGAGAGCAGACCAGCCAGCGAGGGGGGAGGGAAAGAGGGGCGGCGGGGGCCAAAAACGAAAAAGGGGCGGGCAGCTCGGGTCTGCAGCGCCCCCCCAAAACCTCGCTGGAGACACCCGCAGCATTGTCCCGCACGAGCGTGAGGAAAAGAGGGCGAGTAGAGAGGGAGGGAGAGAGGGAGAGAGAGAGAGAGAGAGAGAGCACAGTGCAGCCTAACAAGAAATGTGAAAGTGGCAACTACCTTTCACAAATTTTGAAATAACGATCAGGTTCCCAAAAGCCTAACCCTGGCGTCAAGCAGCCGCAACCGCGCGAGCAGGGAGCGGCGCCCAACGAACACGGCGTCCCAAGTCGGGCGGCCAGGGCCGCGCTGGCCAGTCCCCAATGCAAGCGCACGTGCACAGCGAGAGGAGGGGGAATGAAGAGGAGTGGCGAGAAGGTGCCCTCAGAACTCAGATTTCGTCGTTCTGTGCCGTTGATGCCGCTGGTGACGGTGTAGGCGCTGGAATCGGTACTGTCGTGCCGCAGGTATTGTTGCCAACCTCGAGACCACCGAAAAGTCTGCAATAGCCCAGGACCCAGGCACTACCGCACAGAGTCCATGAGACGCTCGAGGTCGCTCCAAGTGTCTCCGCCTCGAAGGTGGTCACCTCCTCGCCGGGGAAGATATGATGCTGGCGTCAACGCTGGCGTAGGCGTCGGCACCGTTGCTGGAGCTGGCGCTGGTGTAGGCGCTGGTGTTGGTGCCCGCGTAGGCGCGGGCGTACTGACGCTGGTGTCGGTGCTGGCGATCTGGCTCCCGATGATGTGGTGCTGCGCGGTCATGCGGTGGTCGTCGCACGGCGTCGGCGGTGGAATCGAAGCCGGGGTCGGAGTTGGATCCAGGGCTCAAGCCGGAGCCATCGCAGGAAATGGAGTGGGCGTCGTGTCGCTGGAGCTGATGGCCGTCGTGGCCGCGCCGTTCAGCGAGGTACCGCAGCAACTGATGCCGAAACTACTCGTCGAACATAGTGGCCGTCGTCTCGCTGGAGCGTGCTGGCGTCGGTGATGGCATCGGCGCTGGTGTAGGCCCGAAGGGGCCAAGTGACTAGAATTCTCGCCAGTGCTCAGGAGAAGAAGGTGTAGGCGCCGGCGTTGGTGCTGGCGAGTGCGCCAGCGTTCGTGCTGGCGTGGTGGCTGACACCAGCGCTGTTTTAAGCGCTGACGTTGGTGTCGTCATAAGCGCAGTCGTTGATGCCAACGCCTGTGCGCACCAGAAAGCTGGTCAGCTAACTGGTGCGCTGCGGTTTGGCGTCGGTGCTGGTGTAGGCACTGGTGTTGGTGCCGGCGCAAGCGCCGGCGTCCGTGGTGGCGTCAGTGCTGCCGTCGGCGCTGACGTAGGCGCTGGCGTTGGTGCCGGCGCAATCGATGGCGTCCATGCTGGCGTCGATGCAAGCGTCGGCGCTGGCGCAAGCGCCGGCATCCGTGGTGGCGTCAGTGCTGCCGTCGGCGCTGACGTAGGCGCTGGCGTTGGTGCCTCCTCTATCGATGACGTCCACGCTGGCGTCGATGCAGGCGTCGGCGCTGCCGCAAGCGCTGGCGTCTGTGCTGGCGTCGGTGCTGGCGTCGGTGCCAGTGTAGGCGTTGGCGTTTGTGTTGGCGTCGGTGATCACAATAATGCTGGTGTAGGCCGGTGTCGGTGCTGGTGTAGGCGCTGGCGTCGGCGCTGGTGTGGGCGCAGGCGTTGATGCTAGCGTCGGTGCTGGCGTAGGCGCTGGCGCGGTGCTAGCGTAGGCGCTGGCGCTGATGCCAGTGTAGGCGCTGGCGTCGGTGCAAGCGTCGGCGTTGGCGTAGGTGCCGGCGTTGGTGCTGGTGTCGGTGCTGGCGGCGGCGCTGGGAGGGAGGCGCCGGCGCTGGAGCTGGCGTAGGAAGAGGCGTTGTTGCTGGCGTCGGCGCGGCCGTGGGCATAATCGACGGCGCAGTCGTTGTAGAGATCGAGGTGGTTATCCTGAGCAGGCGCCTATCGCAAAGGATCGGCAATGGGGAGCTCAGGAAAGGGGGTGAGGGATACGGAGTAGTGGGAGGTGTCGTGGTGGGCGGCTAGCGTCGGAGCTGGAGTCGAAGGGGAACTTACGTTTATGATCCAAATTATCATTTCTGTGCCCCTGGTATCGCAGCCGGGGAATATTCCACACGGGATGTAGTGGTCGTAGCAGTAGTAGCAGAAGAAGTAACAGTAGTAGTAGTAGTAGTAGTAGTAGTAGTAGTAGTAGTAGTAGTAGTAGTAGTAGTAGTAGTAGTAGTAGTAGTAGTAGTAGTAGTAGTAGTAGTAGTAGTAGTAGTAGTAGTAGTAGTAGTAGTAGTAGTAGTAGTAGTAGTAGTAGTAGTAGTAGTAGTAGTAGTAGTAGTAGTAGTAGTAGTAGTAGTAGTAGTAGTAGTAGTAGTAGTAGGTAGTAGTAGTAGTAGTAGTAGTAGTAGTAGTAGTAGTAGTAGTAGTAGTAGTAGTAGTAGTAGTAGTAGTAGTAGTAGTAGTAGTAGTAGTAGTAGTAGTAGTAGTAGTAGTAGTAGTAGTAGTAGTAGTAGTAGTAGTAGTAGTAGTAAGTAGTAGTAGTAGTAGTAGTAGTAGTAGTAGTAGTAGTAGTAGTAGTAGTAGTAGTAGTAGTAGTAGTAGTAGTAGTAGTAGAAATAAAAGTAGTAGTAATACCATTATTGTTATTATTAGTAGTAGTAGTAGTAGTAGTAGTAGTAGTAGTAGTAGGAGTAGTAGTAGTAGTAGTAGTAGTAGTAGTAGTAGTGATAATAATATTAGTAGTAGTCGTAGTATTATAATTATTAGTAGTAGTAGCAGCAGTAGTACTAGTAAGTCGCTGCTGTCGACGGTGTCCGCCGTCCCGGACGATTCCTTGGCGGGCGCCTGGATGTCCTGAAGCTCCTTCTCGAGTCGCTTGATCTCCCTGGGGCGCACTCCGCAGACAAGCATCGCGGACATCGCAGTTGCGCCACCTGGCCGCCCGAGCGGGCAGGGCGCGGCACGCACAGGCGCGGCGTCCCGATCCCCGGTAAATTGGCCACGGACCGATTCAACTCCGCGTCAAGCTGCTGCATCTTGCCCTCGATCTGGGCCATCATAGCGGCCTCGCTAGCGAAAGCGAAGGACCGCTGGGCCTTGCGCTCTAGTATCTGCGACCTGGCCTGCATCTGGTCATCTCCATCTGCTTGTTCAGCTGCACCATGCTGTTCGTCATGGTCTTCATCTCACTGTTCTTCTGCTCGATATTTGCCCCTCCCTGGACGTTGACGATCTCCAGCTTGATCTGGAGAGTCTCCTGATCCATCGCATCGTTTCGGGCGTCCGTCATGGCAGGAGGAATCGTGTAAGTGGAAAGGGCATGCAGATGGAGGGGATCGGACCTAGGACAGGTGTTGCTTGAGCCAAGGCTTGAGGATAGGATGCGGATGAGGATGAGCGAACGACACGCTGGGGAGAGCGCGCGTCCGAGTTCAGCGGCGCAGCGGCCCCGCGCCGCCCGCGAGGCACCGAGGGGGCCTCAGAGCGCGGCGGGCGGCGGCCACAACCTCCTTGTGGTAGTTGTACTCGTCGCGGATGCCGTGCATGCCGTCCATGTGGCGCACCCGCATGATGTTGTAGCTGCGGTAAGCCACGGCCATGCGGGCGATGGTGCGCTTGGGATGGTCGTCGATGATGTCGCTCTGTTGGAGGCCGAGACGCGTGAGTGCGTCGCCAGCGGGCTGTCCACGGGGTAGTGCCAAGAGCGCCCACAACTGAGGGCATGAGATGTAGTGGCTGATGTCATCCGCGTTCTTGGCCTGCACGTCCATGTCGCAGCCAAGCAGGCAGGGCTTCTTGTGAGGGTTGACGCGCATGCGATGCGAGGTCGTCCATGCGCCTGACAATGTCTTGACCGCGGGCCAGAAGATCGAGGCAGTGGCATTCGCTAGGTGGGATCGTAGATTACGCAAGGCGTGCTCAACATTATCAGGGAGAGCAGCGCGGCCAAGGAGACCGTCACGATCGGAGGTGTCGAAGTCTATCATGATGTCACTTGTGGCGTGGGTGGGGGGCATGGTGGTGGTCGCAGTTGTAGATGCGGTGTCGTTGTCGCCCTGCGGGAAGTTCGGGTTGGTGGCTCGCTCGCGGTCAATCCAGCGCCGACGGGCACGGTGCTCAGCGGCTTCGTCAGCAAATTCACGGTGAGTGGTGGTTGGCATGCGCTCGTTGTTGTAGATCTCCAGGCGGTGGTTA